TAAAAATCCTTTGCCTTGGTTCGGATTTGCAATAACACCAAGTCCGTGCGGAGCAGCTGCTGCGTTGAGCTTCGATTTCAGCGTGGAGCTGGGGAGATGCCTCAAACGAAGAAAACAAGTAAACACAACAACACAAGTGAAATGAGGGACCATCAGCAAACAGCAACATCTGAGTTTAGTGTTTACTAAATATACACATGTTGTCTTTGGTGTTACGAAAAACACAAAGGGCTGCGTGTTTTGTGTTAATATTGATCATTCAGTTAAATTAGACTCATTAGTTTGATTAGGAATGTGCCAAAGCTCCAAAGTGTAATATCAAAAATGATCGGTATGGATTTCTACTCTTTTAATGATACAACTTTTACATAGCATGCACATATTATACATCAAACTCTTCAGATACTTCTGCTCTCACTCAAAATGTAAAAAAATGACGGATCACATGTAAAGTTTTTGAGATATTTTGTTTGTTGGCTACGCTGGCCGAACTTATAACGGAAGTAGTTGTTATCTTTTGCACAGACAATGTTTAGGTGTGCATGACAGGAGATATTTTATGTTAGCTACCTAAAATTATTTAGTTTTTCTTTTTATATATTGCCAGAAATTCATTAATGAAACGACAAAACCCTCTATCGATACGATTAATCTCTGCTGACGATTCACATATTATACATTTTTCATTGCTACAATACTCTAATTTGAAAAAAAAGGACTAAATATTACCGCTTCTTTAAGAGGAAAGTGAAATTGAACGCTGGAGATGCAAATGTGAGTTTATCGCAGCTGGGTTTTTTTTAGACAACTCAAATAAAACCACTGTTAAGGGCAAAATGTCATTCTGTCTGGTATTTTTTAGTTCTGCACAAATGCTACAATTATAAGGAATTATCTTAAATTATCTTCCAGTGTGCATACAAATTAAAATGCTCTGAATAATGTGCTGCTGCTGCAGAGACCAGACACTGTGTCACTCTGTGTGTGCCAAATGTCAACATCTGCAGTTTGTGGTTTTGAGGAAGTTTATTTGATTTTGGCAAGTGAAGAGAGGAAGCACTCCGGTTAATACCGTAAATCCTCTAATATTGGCCTGTATTCAATTAACGGCTGGGTATCATATTTTGGCCGGTGTCGGAGTCGGCGGAGGTGAATGATGGCCGGTATTTTATTGGGACCAGGTGGAATGTGGTAACAAGCAAGTACCACAAGGGGGGCGGTTGTGTCATCCGTCTCACTTTTGATTTACCAGTGACAGACCGCGATTTGGTAGGTGCGGAGACGAAGAGGAGGCGAAAATTTGATATCAAGTTCAAAGAGAACATGCTGATTATGCTGCAGAACACTGGGGAGCAATAGGGGTTGTATGAACTAGTCGACTTCACTATAGTGACTTTTTATGCCTGTCATCGACTAGTCGCTGTCACATGATAATGACCGGCAAGATGCAGCCCTCGGAAAAGACAGCCGCCTGCTGTCAGCAGGTGACAAGCTCCTGCGTGTCGGGAGGCAACGCGCTGTGCCAGAGCGTTGGTACTGACACCCGCCGTAAAACGGACATTTAACCAAATTGTGACCTTTACCCTCTTGCAATTTAACATTCCCCTCACCCCATCATAGCCTTAACCAGCTTGCGCATGCAAAGCTCTGATTGTTGACGCGCTCCAGACATCTGTGTCCTGAGCACGGCCACAGTAACATTATCAAATCAGGTGTCGCCACCTCAAAAACTAATTTAACACGCGATCGTTCATGTCGGCTCATTTCCTTTAAGGTTTTCTGTCTTTTATTTGCGCCTGATGTGTTTCGCTGCTGTGGAGCAGGGCGCATCACCTTGTCCTCCGACGCACCGATCACTGATGTGGCCGGCAAGCAGCGCGCACTCCGCTGTTTTTGCGGTCGGTAGATCTTTTAGAACTGCAGTTCAAAGGTAACTCATGAGGTGAATATATATGAACCCAGGTAGCAGTTTTTCTTTAGGACTGAGAGGAGATGCAGGAAGATAATAAACAGGCAGGACAGAAAAATAGTCAAATAAAAACAAGTTAGTTTTTGTACCTGGTGGTTGCAACAAACAGACACCATTGAAGGTAATCAGAAGTGAGGAACAGAAAATGAAATAATTATTTTAATGTTTAGAGCAGCAGGAACTCCGAGAGGCTGCAGGCGCATCAGTGAGTTTGCGGCCGCTGCGCAGGGGGAGGGGGGAGCAAAACATCTGTTGCTCTGTTTTTTTTAAGATGACGACTTCACGTTTCTGTTTATAAATGTCCTTCTGTAGCCGACAAACAGCACTAAAACATGTTGTTTTATGAGTAGTATTCTCGTGTCATGTTGCGCACTCACATATTTATATTTTAGAGACTTACTTTTCCTTGAAAAGTTCATCAACGCTGCATCAGCCGAGGTATTGCTTAAATTTGAAGCATCTAAGCGGTAGTCTAACGCTATTGGTTAGTTCTGGTCGGCGCTCAGTTTCCTATTGCATGGAGCTCTGTGGGGCAGGGGGTGTGCTTAGCAAAAATAAACAAAAAAAAAGACGTAATAACTTACATTTTATCACAGTACATGATGAGACAATCACTTTTACGGATTTCTGAAAAATCATACATCATTTCTGAAAGGGGAAAACTCTGGAAAGCAGCTTTAACCCTGTAAAGGATAGTTTTAGCACATACTGGCTCAGGAAATGTATTTAAAAATATGAAAAAGTTGCAAACTATCCCATTAAATAATAGGGAGCATCTAGCTTAGCATTGCAACATAGATCACCTAAAGTAAAAGCACACAACAACTGGAGAAGTAATGAATTAAAGAGGTTTCTGAAGCATGTTCGTGCTGCAACGTAAACTGGTTTGTCAATAAAGTTTGTTAAATACCAGTTAAGCAGCATTGACTTACGTGACTCAGCATGCCTGCCACGTTCTTTGGTTATTGATCACATTGAACACCACTGTGTGTGTCAATGTTTTCATTTATTCAGCTGGATGCACATAACTGACAGAGACGATGGGTGGACACAAGCAAGAAATGCAACATCCAAGAGCCACCGTGTTGCTGTGGAACACTACAATGCTGCCAAACACCTTTCAGCAGGAGAACTTTAGAACAAACATAAAATTAGAGAGTTTATCTTTAAAATAACCTCCAAGAGATAACATTTACTGAATTAGGGAGCAATGTTCAACAATTTCCCCTCAAAGCAGTTTAAATATCACAAGGTATTTGGATAAAAACTGCGCGCACACACACTCACACACACAGACCGGGGTAAACAAATAGAGGCACAAGCAGAGAGACAGAGATGAAAGACAACCGGATTGTCCTTCGTTTTATTCTCTCTTTAATGCACTGATGAAATAAAGGCCTGATGGACAACAGGTGTGTCATCTGCACAAGGCTTTTAATCACCTTTCAGCTAAACTCTAATGAACTGCAGAGTGAATGGGATGTCTCTGCTGCTCATTACATATGAAAGATAGAATAAAAGAAGCATTAGCAAATAAATGAGCAGGCATTAAGATAAAAAGGAAAGTAAATTATAAACAACATATATAGAGAGAGAAATATCAGTTTATTTAACTTATTTGGTCCAAAGAATGGTAGACCAGTTTTTATCTAAATATGGTAAGCTGAGAGGAAAACAAAGAAAACATTTTTTTAGTAGATTTCCCAGGAAAGCTGTCTAAATGACCACCCCGGGACACTAAATTCACTCACAGCTGCCCAGCTGCTTCACTTGAATCAGGGTGACAGAAGCCAGAAAAAGCACTTTAGGATCAGTTACAGCACAGACTCAGGTGCTATTTTTGTATTTAGGAACCACGGGATGCTGTCCTGCAGACCGCTATCATTAGACCAAGACGAATCAAAAATTATAACACCAACAAAGCTCAGACTGTAAAGTTAACTATGGTCTTAAAACCATTTAGTGTCATTAATTCTGGGAGGTTGCCTCTGATAAGAAATATTTTTTTTTCTAATCTTACACTTCCTGTAACACGCAGGAGACGAGTCTGATAGTTTCAGGAACAAGGGGATGACCATCAGTTCCTAAGACAGTGCGCAATAATATTTTATATTCATGATCTGTTCGGCCACAACAACATAGATTCAATTCAGTCAATCTGATTCTTTTGACTTATATCAAAAAAAGTGTAACAGATCCATGGGGGGTGAAACACATGTGATGGGAATGAATCACAGAGAAATGTCAAAGAGGTTACAAACGGCGTGGAACACACAACCATCACCTGAATCTCCTCTCATTTCAGAGTCATTCTCGGTATTGCAGCTCTATTTACAGTTTTCAAATCCAAACAGAACTGAAAGGGTGGTGAAGTTGCACCACATTTAGCAGACTGACACAAAAACAACAAAAAGCTGGTGTCACTTTGTATCTGTGGATGGATAAATAAGAAAGTGTTTGCCGACACGCCGGCAAACGCGAGCCAAAACCATGAAATTGAAACTTACTTCGTTAGTGGATCTTTACTCATCTGCAGTTGACTTAAAGTAAAATGTTCGTGTCGTGACGATAGATCTTTGTTACTTAGAACTGTGAGATGGAAGATGATCATACATATGTCAATAAAATCCACAAGAACGAGAGCAGACAAGTCACAAATAACCACATGGGAAGCAGGTTTTTATCTAAATGTGTTGAGTGCAGTGCCACTACACCTCCAATCACTGAGACAACACCTCACCGATGAGGGTTATAACTTAAATACAGAAAAAAAACTTTAATCTGCAAGAAAAAGAACTGCCAGCTGATCAGTGCTAGAAGAGAAGATAGCATCTTCAGGAGAACCAAATAAAACACTGAACATGCCAACAGAACTGCGGTAGGGAAAATGTTTTGATGCTCACAAGGCATCTGTCGTGGGGGATTTGGACAATCATATGCAACCCCATGTGTTGATGTGTTAGTCTATTCCTCCCTGGACTCAGATGTAAAAGCGGAAATGCTTCTGGAGGTGCGCATCTGTGAGTGTTACCTGTTCGAAATGCGGAACGGTAGCTTCCCTCCGGTGAAGCTGGAGTTGCTTGTCAATGTTGTCCTTCAGGCACTGACACACACGGTGCTTCTGGTCCACCGAGTGGGCTTCCAGGCTGAGCAGGCAGTCACACTTCTACAAACAGAGGGAGAAAGAGGGAGGGGAGGGTGAGAAAGGGGTTGGAGGAAAAGATAGCAGGCAATTAGGTGTCAGAGAAATAAAGACAAAGCAGCGAAGCTTGGAGGGAGAACGGTTTTAGATGTGAGTTTAAAGCTAAATTTGGCTCATTACACCTTTGTAATCGGAGCCAGTATGTTCGTGACAATTCAGTCTAGAGAACATAAATATCTAAACTGCTAAACTCAACTACACACATGTTCTGAGAGTCCTGCATTTTCACACAGTTTCCAAACCTGGTTTGAACTCGACATTCGGCTGGTATTTGAACTTGTGCCTTGGACGTCGAAATGCCACCTTTAGTGAAACCGAGTAATGGCTCGCAGCTACTTTAAGCAGAATTTGATATGCTGACAAAATGATTGTGAAAGTCTAGATAGCGCTCGCTAAAAGCGTACAAATCAATACATCCCTTGGAAATATATGAGAAAGAAGGCCTGAGAACCGGTGCTAAACTGATTAGAAGTCAGAACCTGGTCGGATAAAAGGAGAAAAAAAAACTTTCAGCCATCTGCAAACCATCAACAAACGTTGATTGTTGTCTGATCTTAGAGGAGCAGAAGAGGAAATGTTTAAGGAGGTGGGTTTATGGGATTGGGAACTATTTGTTCCTCCTTTAGTCAAATAAACTCAAACACCTTTGCTCCTGCAGTGTTTCATTCACTTAAGTCTATACTAAGGCATTTATTCTATAACTGCTAAATTTGCTGAAAGTTATTTTAGCTTCAGCAGATTATTAACCTTTCTGTTGTCACTATGAAAAATAGTTGTATATTTACTAGTGATAAACTGTAAAACCATGACAGGAAAACCTGTCAACTATAAATATATCTAGATATATAAATATATCCAAAACTGTTAATTTCATGTGAAGTTGCCGTACATAAGTTGTTTGGTGAAAACTCTAATTAGTAAATTTTATCTTTGTAAAAAATACATAATTCTACTGTAAAGCACTCTTGCATTGTTTTTTCTTTAAATGCTAAATTTCCTTAAAAGACTATAATTTTTACATTTATTTGTTGAAAAAAATCTGCTTTATTGCTGGTAATGGTTTAAGGAGTTTACTTCCTGTTTCCCAGTGTGCTTAGCGGCATTTAAGTGAGATCTGGGTGAGCCATGGGTCGGGGGGAAGTGTCTGTTCTTGACCTGACTCATGACATCACGTGAAGGTTGTGCTGTTGTTCAATACCGATGTCACTACTGACTCAACGCTTTTGACGGCTACAAGTTAGTGATGGGAATTCCGGCTCTTTTTAGAGAGCCGGTTCTTTTGGCTCATCTCACCAGAAAGAGCCGGCTCTTTCGGCTCCCAAGTGGCTCCTCAGATTTTCTGTTGCGTAGAGTACATTTACAACCAAAATAATGCTAATCTATAAGCAAAATCATTTACTAATGTAAAAAAATGCAATATATCAAATATTTATCGTTTCTATGGATTTAATAACTGAACACTTTAAGAAATCTCCACTTTCCGACTGCTGGCGCTCATTTTCTCACCGTCTTCGTCGCTCGCCTTTTTCCTCCTCCTCATTCCCTCTCGTCTCCCTCCACCCGCATGTGCTCTGCTGTGTGTCTGAGTCTGATCCTCCCTCTTCCCCGCCCCTACTGCCCTGTGTGTGGACAGTCTGGACACACAGTCACACATGTTGACCAATCGCCTGTAGCTTTCACCAAAGCAACAGGGGAGGGGGGAAGGGAGGGGACGGCTCCCAATGACGAGCCGTCTCCCGTCGTTCACTTCAAAGAGCCGGCTCTTAGAGCCGGTTCGTTCACGACCGACACATCACTACTATAAGTGCAGTTAAAAGACATGAACAGCAATTAAGCAGACAAAGCCATTTGAACCGGTTATGACCTTTATGGCAGTTAATCAGTTATTTCATTCTATGCATTGATTCTATGTATTGAGGAAACTTACAAACTCTTACAATTTTGTTTTTAGTGGGAAAAAATGTTTTTAGTAGCACAAATTTTATTTTATAGTTTATTTTCATATACATTTCAAAGTAACGATGTTTTTTTTTTTTCGTTTTTTTTTTCAAGTTAGAATGTTTTCTTTTACAGTAAAACACTGACTTCAGTATCATTTTTAACCAGTAAAACAACAATAAAAATATCTTCTTACCATAAAAGAAAATAATTTTGCTCGTAATTTTACTGCACCATTGTGGAATCCCCAGTTGGAGGGGATTAAAACATATTTATGGTAATTGCACTCACATGTTAATATACTTGTATGTTAGTACTTTGAACACTTTTGTAATGCTGTGTTTAAAGGGGCATTATGGAAGTTTGACAGCCAAAACATGTATAGAAATAATAAATTTCTTCTTCATACATTCTCCTGCAATGCCCTGGTCCTGTAGAATGAGCCCTGGCATTTTTACTGTGATTGCCTGTTTTTCTGTAAAATCACAGAAAAAGAGAGTTGCTCGGGTCGAGCAGGCTGCTTCATGCGCGTTCACGCTCAGGCATAGCCCGTAGCATTTGCTATCCGTAGCTTTAGCAGCAGAGAGTGAGGTAGTGCCAACTCAGCGACTTTGTCGCTGTTCCTAATGCCTAGTGATGAACCTAGCTACATTTCTGAGGACCCTGAGCTACCTTCTTTTAGAAATTTCCTGCAAATTAGCAACAAAATTGCCATTTTCGCTCCGAACCTTTCTTTGAACGTTTTTTCAGCTGTCATGAAGGATATAAATATTACAGATACAAGAGACGTCACTGGTGCTATAGCTCACTTAGTAAGATGTCAGACTCTTGTGCGGAAGACCTGGGTTTGATTCTGGATGTTAATATAGTTTATTTAGAGTTAGTGTTTTACATTAATGGTATATTTTTTACAGTAAGATGCCCAAATTTTTATTTGAAACTCGCCAAACGGCATTGAATTCACAGATAAAAAAGATGTGGGTTCAACTTTCATTTTGGAACAATTCTTCAAGCAAGGGAAGGGAATGATCTGAGCATGCAGGGAGACTGACCCCGGCTTTCCACGGGAGCCGTCAGCAGCATGTTACTGCAGCAGCACGTCATAGCTGCTGATAGGAACCGCTGTGGTCAACAGAACCTTTTCCACTGGAGCCGTCGGCAGCCGTCGGCAGCCGTCAGCAGAGCGAGTCGGCCGCGTCTCAGGAGCAGCATGTCGCGGCCTTTACGCGCCGGTTCTATTTTCTACACGTGACGCCTCTGAAACGGGTCAAGTTCGACATTTTTGGGGAAGGAAAGACAGGAAATCGGACGCGGAAATGGAGAGAAGCTACAGAGATTTTCAGAATAAAGAACGTGCTGCCTTCCGGTTGCTTTACTTTTAAAAAATGTTACTAACTGTGCGTCCCCGTGAGAAGTTATCACCTAGCTAGCGGTCTCCTTTGTTTTTCAGGTCCGTATTGGCGATTATAAAACGGACAGAACATAAAACACAAACCATGTTGTAGTTTTCTCCTGCTTGTTGTTGTGTTTACTGACGAAGTCACTCGTGTGACTTCATGCTCAGTCGGTGGCAGCTGCTGCCCTGCTGCTTCGCGTCTCGTGGGAAGGGCCAAGCAGCAGCTTACGCGAGCAAGACGTGCTGCTGACGGCTCCCGTGGAAACCCGGGGTGACCCATCATAAACCTTTGTCGGCTGTGCTGAAGAGAAAGGTACAGAACCAAATTATTTAATTAATTAGCTGCGCGTTCTCCTGTCCTCTGTCCTCCGGGCCACACACACACACACACACACACGAGACTGTCTCAGCAGTTATTTTCGTTAAGGAGTGTGCACGTACAGCATGCGCGCCTCGTGCACGAGCCTACTATTGAAGCTGCCGTTACGCTTTTGGCCTGAGGGGGCAATCGCGAGCAAAAAAATTCAAAACTCCGTAAAGTCCCTTTAAAGACATAGAGGCTATATTGAAATGCATCCAAAATGGATTGAAATGGTTCACACTCTTCTATTAAAGGAAGAAGAACTTTGTATGGTCACTGAAATAACTTGAAACAGACAGAAGTTATAATGACTAAAGTTTACTTTAAACCTTTCTTTTGAATTCAATTTTAAAAGCATCTTCTTTTTAAATACCAATACAAATTATCAAAGGTTAACTTCACTCATATTTTTAAAACATTTGCAGTGGTCTCTAGTAGGAATGAATACCTAGTAAGTCATTTTCTCTGGCGTGCCTGTGTTATGGAGTTGCTAGTACTATTGAGACAAGAGCTGTTTTTATAGGCCCATAGCGTTTTCAAAACGGGATTTGCCGCGGCACCCCGGGGAGGGTTTTGGCATTTATAGTAGCAAAGCTGAAGCTAGAATATACTGCTATCAGGTACCTCTCCAACCAAGACGAGATATAGGGAGGTCGCTGGGCGGCCCCCCTGCATGTGACATACAGGGTCGTGCATTCAGCCTCGGACAGAAGACACGTCAGACTGATGAAATTTCTTTTTCAGGACCTTTAGCTTTGATGTGATCTGCTTTTTGTCCAGCTTGACGCCCCGCTCAGCCAGTGTTTTCACCACTCTGTAGAACAGCTGGCTGTCTCTCACCGTCCCCGTAAAAAGGCGACTAATCTGTCCGTCCGCTCGCATGGCCAAAAGCTCCATGGTCTCCGCGTCCGTCCAGCTGGCTTTCCTTCCGGCCAGCACCCGGCGCGCAGTATACGTGACTAACGTGACCACCCTCTTTTGCGGGGGGGCCTCCCACACTTGCTCCAAAGGGATTAGAAGGGGCTGACACGCGTTACTATTGCAGTAATATTACACCGATTTGCCGGCATGGTGTGTCCTACAAAAGCACCTATTCTCTGTTGTTTTCTGGATGCTAAAACAACAACACCCTTCCCCATTGTGAGCTAAGATGGGTGAGTCCATTAATGTTAAGTGACAGTGTGATGTAAATCTGTCAGGCTTTTCTGAACAAAGTGTTTTTTTGTCTGTTTTCTATCAGAAACTAATGCAGGAAATAGGGGTAGAAGA